GTCCTATCGCTGGCCACCACTGAAAACAGCTTGTCCCCTTCCTCCCTGCATTCTCCCTTCCTGAACTTGTATGTATTAATCATATCCCCTCTGAGCCTTCTCTTCTCCAGAGAAAACAGGCCCAGCTCACTCAGCCTCTCACACATAAAGAAACACATAAAGAAACACATAAAGAAACAGAGATATTCTTAATAAAGGGAATCTGTAATGAATGTTCCTGTTGCAGAAGCAAACACCAGACTTTTAGGACAGTTCTCTCTTCTACTAAAACAGAGAGATGACTCAGGCCTTATCAGCAGCTCTTTTTGCCACTGAGATTTTGCCACTTAAGAGAGTAAGAATAAGAGGTCATAGAGTGAAAGGCCCTGTGGGAATTAAGAGTATGGCAATTAGCTGACCTCGCTGCTCTTGCTGAAGTCTTGGCACAGCAAGTGCTCTTCTGGGTGAATCCAGTACCTAACCCCTAGTCACATTCCCCTTCCACAGGCAGGGGTTTCTGCTTAGGTCTCTGCTATTCTGGCATGGGACTCTGGATTATTTCGGTGCTCTGGGTAATTTCCATCAATCACTACTAAAACTCTTCAACATCTTTGACATATGTAATGTGTTCACTGCAGAGCAGTCTTTGGCACTTGTTTTCCCACTATAGCTTTTTAATCTGCTGACTAAAACCAATTTTTTTTTTTATTTTAGATTCCTTACAGAGGAAATACAACCAAGAAAACATAAGGGAAAAAAAAAAAAGGTGATAAGAGGGCCCAAGTGAGCATTTTCACTCCACTCTTTATCATCTAAGAACAAAGATTTCCAAATCAAACAGCAGATATGGAAACACAGGAACCGATTACAGAAGAGGTTCGAACCATCTGCAAAGACTAAGGCCATTCATTTCTCTGTCTTCTCCCCCTCCCGCTGCGCCCCCACACTGGAATAGCCAACCTCTTGTTGGACAATGGCGTCTTTGTGACGGGCTGCGCTGGCGCAGCAGTGAACAACAGCACCAGACTTGTGCAGACAGGCGTGCACTTCGCTAACTGTAGCATCTAGTGTACGTAAAAGTTTTGTCGTTGCCTTTTCTTCATTTTGTAATAACGCGTCCCTACGCACATACCTCTCAGCTGCCCTAATATCCCTCTGCGTCAGACTTCTTCCACGAGGTTACAAAACACAACAAGTGTGGATATACACTAATTCATGTGGCAGGTGCACATCATGCGGGGAGGAAAGCCTGCAGCTAGAAAATGTCCTTTTTATTCAATACTGAACCCTGCTAGAAAACACAGTCATGTACAACACAGTACTGGGGGACTGGCCAGGAAATGAGAGGGAAGGGCAAATAATATCTTGCACTAGCCATGAAATTTTGCAGATCTGAACACAGTATCAGAAAGATTGAACATGCTACAACTATACAGCTAAGAAAATGTGAATACTAACACTCACTAACAGCCAAACTTAGTTTTGCAACCCGTTTTAGTTTAACAACACTTTTGTGCTTTGGTAAGAAAAGGAAGGAAGAAGGATTAGACAATGCAAGGAATGTGAGAATTAAGGAAAAGCATTTTGCCTGTAAACAAATACTGAAAGGAGGATTTACGGTTAAAAATAAATTAATCTCTTGAGGATGGCTCATTTTCAACTGCTGTTAGTTTTAGGACCACATGTAATTTTTACAGTCAAATGGCCTGGCTTTATATTAAAAAGAAACAGATATAAATATTTTTCTTTTCATTAAACAGTACAAATTCCAGTCCTATTTCTTATAACTTGCACAGGACACAACACTGTCGAAAAGATGACTTAAGAAGAAAAATACAGCGAATCTCCTTAAGCTGTATGTGCTAAACAGCAACATATCAGACAAATTTAAAAAAGTATAAAATACATTTCAAATAATATATTGAAAATCCACACGTTTAATATACTGATTTGTGAGTTTATTTCTAAACATAGACACAAATAACCACATCAGCTGAGCCACGTGTACATGGTATGAAGGAAAGAACTCCTTAATCCTGCACTCCAGCAGCACAGATAAGTTGTTCTGGGAAGAAAGCCACTTTCTTTATATTAGCCTGACACTATCTTCCCTGCATTTTCTTCATGTGATGCTCTAGGTTTAAAATCAACTTCATTCAGTAGGTGGCTGTGGCCCAAATAGGTATAAGGCACTTTATGAATTTTTTTAGAAGATACACTAGTTATCTACATGGAAGAGTACTTCATAAGTTGAGGAGAGTTAAAGGTGGAGTCTCATACAAACACAAGCAGCAAGAATTCCAGTGATTCTTTTCCACTGGGTGATTACCTTTCAACCTCTTAAAATACAAATCTCATTACAATGAACATGACCACTGTGTCTGGTGATGGACTACAGAGGATAGTTTTAATGGACATCAGCTTTGGGGCAATGCTTTGAGTCTTAGTTCTGTGAGATTAATGAGAATTAAAATAAGATTCAGGGAAAAGAGAACCAGAGAATAATAGAGAGTCAGTGACCATAAATCACAAAAATCCATTTTCAGCTGAAATAAATCCTTATAAGATTTCTCACCATTAAAAAACAACTATACAAAAGTATTTAAGTTCCTTAAAGAAGGAGAAATCTCAACATACTTCTTGATTATATCCCACATTTTTACATCCTTCCATGCCTGTTTTTTTACTTCCATCAGGACATATTGCAGTGACATTGAAATTAAGATCTTGAATCTGGTTATCCACTTGAATTTTCACTTCAGAGATTAGTTTCTGGAAAAAAAAAAAAAACACACACAATAAAAACACAAAAAATCAACAAAAAATCAACTTTTGGTCGCATTGCTTCTCAAACTAAAATGTACATTAGTGACCAACACCAAATACTGCTAGCAAGTATGTCTCATTAAAAATGAAGAAAGCTTTTCAGTCCGAATAAAGGAATGAATTCAACTATTTTTTCTCATATAAATATCCAGCAACATTCCAAATATATGAAAGTGAGCTGTTAATTCTGAAATTATGTTTTSCATGTATACACATTTTTAGCTATTTTAAGGGATATGGGGACTATGTATTTGATAATTTGAAAAATGATTCTATAAAACATGTATAACAAAAACTGGTTATTGTTTAAGAGGCAATACTGTCCTTTACACATAATATACAATTATATGTACACAGTCCAGCTATCCTAACCAACAGACAAGATTCCTGATTGACCTTAAACTTGACCTTGACCTTAAACATTTTGCATATGCCTTGGAAAAGTTTCCCTTGAACAAACCTCAGGGAGATCTAAARGCTACTGGAATTATTCTTAGTAATTTATTCAGATAAAAACTATGACTGTATAAATCAACAAGTAGTTGATTCCCATTAGGGATTTTTACATTATAAAATAATGAAAACTCTGTAAATAACATTCATTGTGTCTTTGAAAGCCCAAATTACTAGTTATGAAAAGTGTATTACCTCTTGACCTCTTACAAATTTATTAAAGCTATTGTAGAAGCTGATGAGCTGAAAATTGTATGAAGAGATTATTAAAATTCCTTACATTTTAGAATTTAAAAAATCAGTTTAGTGGGATRTTTTTCCTTTTACAAATGGTAATTTAATTACATGATTCTGGACACATGTTTATCTTACTGACTTTTAAAAAGTAATGACTCATCTTTGGCTTTTTAGCCAGGGATTTTCAGCCAGGGTTTTCCGCAACTAAGCCAATAGGTTTCCCTGCTTAGAACAAAAGTGCAAGACACCCACTATCAGTCAACACTAAATTTATATTCTTATGTAAGTACTTTTGCTTTCTAAAGAACAAAACATTCAAGCCCAGTTAACCTTGTATTTGTAAATTTCAGGTCAATAAAACAATGGAAAAAAACCCAATGGATCAAATACAACAAAATTTGGGATGCGAAGGAAGACGATGTCTAAAAAATGAAAATAAGAGCAAAGAGTGGGTGGACAAAGCAGGAAAGTCCCAAAGAATCTTCTCTATAACTGATTATTTAGTAAATTTTCATTTCCTTTCCTTGAATGTTTGCCCTGGATTGTCCTCTAGAAACTGGGATACAATTTAGGATGAACAATATAAAAGYGGTAGTTTAACATGAAATAATGAATTCATCCTATAGCATGCAAAGGGATCATGCTCTTCAAAAAAATCAAGTTAGTACTATTTCATAATTTCCTGAAAACTTCTATAGTCATAAGAAGATTTCTTGATTTTATAAGAGAAAATACTAGATTACTTCATTGCAATTTGATTCTACCAAACCCTCCTGTGCATTTAAACATCTTTGGCAACTACACACTGTTTCCAACATGACAGTGAGAAAAATCTGTAGRAACCCATGCAACTGAGTACTAGAAGATATGCGGCTGGGCTCTTTATTTTATCAGCTATTATAATTCTCCCAAGTCCTAGCAATTAAAAATTATATAATACATATTGATATCTTGCATATACCTTTGTAATGGATTTCTCAGCTTTTATTTGTGACAGCATTAGTATCGTAATCAAAGGAACAGGTGACTTTATATTCTCTTCCACTCTACTACATTCACTTGTGAAGAATTCCATGTGAAAAATCACAAAGCTATCTCCATTGCTCTCTCTCAGACTCCTATCAAAGCTCTCCTTCACTGCAGTGCCTCAAAAACGTGATTGATAAATGCTGCTTTTCACGGTATACACTATTGTTCAACTATCTCCTTGAAAACAGACCTGCTTTTTTTCTAAGAATTGCACTGTAAAACTCTGTAGGCACTAGACTGCCTTTTTTTTTTTAAATACATATGGTGCCTAGACAGTGGTAAATGGTTTATAACTACAAATCTGAAATGCCAAAATACAGAAATGCCAAAAAAGTCAGGCATTTCTGTAAAGTCACATGACAAAAGTGCAGAGAATTAAATAGAGTGTTTAGAAGCATTCTTGCTAGAGAAAGAAATGCTAACGCTTAGCTTTGAGAACTCAACAGTGTAGAGATTTGAGAGCCATCATGACACAGAGTCACCTACCAACCTGGACACTCAGAAAAGCAGGGAACCTCTCCTCATGGACTTCAAAGTCAAGACCCTTCCAGGTATACATGAAAGTTCCAATTTCAGGTTCTACATTACTAAAGGTGAAAAATCCTTGTATAAATACATTATATAACATTGTCATTGTGACCATACCTGATAGGCTTCTACCACCAAATCATTAAGATTTGCTGCTTGTGATTCTATCTGTCTTGCAACAGTACCAGGCAACAGAGGTAACAGGTCCTGTGAAAAATATAATAATTTATGCATAGTTTATATTTTTAGTATAGTTTTTTTCTTTTAAAATAAGGCAAAAAAAATAGGTTTCTAACCTACTTTATACCAATGAAATTGGCTTCCTTGAACTGCAAAAATAACATTGATGTTATTGTCAATCAACTTTTCAGACAGCTGTCCAAGCGATGGATGTTCCTGCAAAATACAACAGACCAGAGAAGACTGCAGTTTTAGCGGGAGACAAAAACCTTACATATGATATATCATCCTATACAGATTACAAAACCACCCCAATCCTTTCTTTTTAAATTTATAGAGCAATAGTAAGCCTGTATCCAAAAGAAGCTGAGACCAACCCAAAAGACAGATCATGACAAAAATTAATCAGCACACCAGCTCGCTTGTGGCCTGTTGCCAACTATATGTAGTGCTGCACATTTGGAAGACTCACTTGAACTCTCCTCATATGGTACCATTTTGTTGGTGTTGAGTCTGGTGTTTATGAAACATAATTGTATATGACATTGCCTGTGATCTGCCTGGAATGATGATGGGACTCCTGAGAATAGTAGGAGGGCTCTTGTGCTCATCAGGGAGAAAAAATGATATTGAGATAAGGTATATTTTGGACAACAGCAAGGCTACTGAATATCAGATTAAGTAGAGTTTGTTTCCCATATATATATATATATATACACACACACACACATACATATATATATATGTACATATATATATATATGTATATATATATATGTACATATATATATATATATATGTATTACTACTGGGGATGAGACACATCTATTCAATGTAAGCAGCAGCCAAAGTTCTTGCAGGCTCAATATTCTACTGTTCCTTGTGACTGACACTTTTCTCCTATCCTCTTCTGTACAAGACCTGCCTTACCTGTGATACTTCCATGTCCTCATAGGACAGTCTTCTACATTTTCTAAACAACACTTGTGCTTGCTTAAAAAAGTAGAATGTCATATCTCATCTCAGTATTTTCTCTTATTTGGTGGTGTCTATGATGGTATGTCCTATTGCAGTGAGAGTGGTGGAACCTGCTGGTCATTTGTTGCTGGAATGAGAAATCTAACACTTGGAACTATCCTTTTACTATCCCCTTATCCAAGAGTATAGGGAAGACCAAAGTTGTTTGTGTGGTCCCAATGAGCTTCGTACATTTGGACCATGTGATATCTTCCAATTCCAATTCACTGTAAAATAAACTGTACCTGCAAGTTATCATTGCTTTACTACACATCTGTGAATGCTTCTCAAGAAGGAAATTCAACGTTCACAATTCACAACTGGATGAAGAGAAGTGGTTGAGGCTTTGGCCAGTATTTTCCATTACAGATATGACATCTGGACACCTATTCACCTGTGTCAGGTCTTTCAACATCTTTCTACTCCATATATTTCTTCTGTCTTTCTGCCCCTCATTTTTCTTTCCATCATCCATTTAGTYTCTCTCTCTCATTTTTCTGAACAATTTGTTATTCTACAGAGAGCCACTCTGCAATTCAACCAGTATCCTAACAGTAACTCAAATGCCAAAACAGMAGAGAGAAAATTATGCAAAGAGGTAAAATCCATTTTCCAGCATATTCCACCAGTAGAAATAGTCTAATACAGAAAGAACTAAAAATTCATTGAAGTTTGATCTTAGTCAGGGCCTACACAAGTTTTTTACCCATTGGTAGGAGACTGTATTGCTTAATCAAGGTGATTAAAGGTAGGTAACATAGCAATAAATGGGCCTTCTTAAAGTTGCAACTGGAGAATGTGTCATCCACTAAGGTCCATTGAGAATACAGTCCTATTACACAGCACCATTACTGATGAAGTGTAGTGGCCCTGTTGCCATTCTCAATAGCCTTCAATACAGTGTTGAGGCTTCCTTCTTCATGACCATAGAGCTGGTACCTCATCTGTGTACTGTGAGCCTCCATGCCACATGTATCTGTTTTGCAGTTCACAGATGAAGCAAGTGGGTCCCAGGGCATGGAAGTAGTAGATGTTCTGCAACTGCCTCCTGGGTTGTAAATGTGTGAAAGGCAGGGATAGTATGGAGGAATCATTGGATGGCASTCAATTAAATGTTTTCTGCTTAACATAGGACAGTAAACATGTCTGAATTCCCAGCAAAGTGACTCTTTAACATCCCTGTGACTAATGACAAAAAGTCCTAAAAGCAAAGAATCATAGAAATATCATGGTTGGAAAAGACCTTCAARATCATCAAGTCCAACCATGAACCCATCCCCAACATGCCTGCTAAACCATGTCCCTAAGTGTCTCACCTACATATTTCTTGAACACTGCCATGACGGTGACTCCACCACTTCCCTGAGTGGCCTGTTCCCATGCTTCACCACTATTTCCATGTAGATTTTTTTTCTAATATCTAGCCTGAACCTGCCCTGGCGCAACTTGAGGCCATTTCCTCTTTTCCTACAAGTAGATATTTTGGAGAGGGGACTGACTCTGCCTCACTACAACCTCGTTTCTGTTAGTTGTAGAGAGTGTTAAGTCCCTTGTCCACTATATGGGTCACTAGATGAATGTTATCAGAACTCAGTTTCCAAACCCTGATGAAAACAAACAAACATCAAAAAAAGCGTATTCTGATGGTACCTACTGAAGTCAAGAGAAGATATGCAAAGAACAGCAAGASTCATAGTGACTGGATCTGCAAACTACCTAGGTTTTTACAAGTACACCTGAAGAAAATTTCATCTACTTGTCAAATTGAACTCTGCAGTATCCAGATTGGCTAAGAGAATATTGAAACCTCATTTCATTTAAGAAAGAAAATTTAATATTTTATTAGAAAGAAACCGAAAAATATTATCAACATAACTGCCTACATTTCCTTTTTCATTTGAGCATATACAGAGGCACCCTATGGGAATACTGGTCATTGAAGGGGCCTCATTCTGCTCCTGTAAAAATCTTTATGTGSTTTATATATTTTTAACATTTCCTACTACTAGCCAGAAGAATGTATTCTCATTTTTCTTTCTTCTTCCATTAACTATTTTAACCAACTTGTTCTTAAACTGAGGGATAACAGATGTTAAATATTTCAGGAAGGTGAGTGAACCAAGGACATATTTAATTAAAATTGAATAATTTCTTTCCTGTGTTATGCTTCTTTTGTTGTCCTTATCCTTATCAAACCTTACCTTTTGGTAAGGTTTACCTTACCTAAACTAACCTTATCAAAAGTTAGAAGGCTTGAAAAGTGACTAATTAGGAACTTCTGTTTAAAGGTTAAGTTTATGCAAGATTAAAGCAAATTCCTCTTAACTGGCAGAACAAAGAAGATACAATAATATGCTAAAATGCTACCTGATCTATAGCAACTTAGTTATAGAAACTAAGAATGAAAATAGGACTATAATGTGATTACAGAGAGCTCTTCAATAAATATATAGAATTAAATTAATTAAAATTAATTTAAAATTTTCATTAAAATGAAATTAATTGATCAAAATTAATTTAAAAAAATCTCACCCACCTATATTTCTTAAACGATGAGTCCTTCATGACATTTCTTTTAAAAATATTTTTGTTTTTCCTTTTTATTTTTTTTTCCTTGTTCATTTACAACTCAAGCCTTTTTTAATGTTTCTTTATGAAACTCTGGCTCATGAGAATATGACTAAAATAATTGCAGGATATACGACATTGAGRAGAAAAAGCAGTCATCAGGAAACACCTACCCCTGTAGACTCTTGTCCAATCATGTCCAATCTACTCCAGAAAATATCTGATGTTGGGAAAAGATGCCATTCTGCACATTTCTCTATTACCAAAATTTACATGTGGGCAACTCAAGAATTACCCTGCAGCAGAAAATAAATATGGACTAACAGCTAACAAACACTATTTCTAAAGCAGAGCAGAAAATACAAATAGCTTATTTTGAAACAGTTACTATTATCAAATGAACTCTGAACAGATTTGTATTGTAGATTTATATCTGCAGTAAGTTTAATAATCACAGCTAGATTCTTCTCTGTCATATTGCAGTTCCTTTGAGGTGGAAAAAAAAAACAAAGAGGAAAAATGAAAGATTGCATTAGTAGCTTTTCAAAAGCAAAAGGAAAAAGGAAAAAAAAGATAGGGAGACCTATAAGTATGCTCCACTTTGGGTAAGTTTTTTTTCAATTACTTGGTTTAAGTAGAATAAAGAAAGAGATGTTCTCCTTATAGGAACACTGAAGAAATACTGAAACCAAGCAGACTAGCTATAGGGCAATAAATAATTCTGACATCTAAGAGAGAATATCAAAAAGGTGTCAGAGGGAGTATATTAATGTAGAACATCAGATAACCAGAAATCCAAACAACTTTCCTGCCAGCCTATTCTGAACTCCATAGTCCTTTCCGGAAGCTTCTTAACACCCACCTATTCCAGGAAGCCTTCCATATTTCATGATCACATAGCCTTCAGTAGCTCCTTACTGTTGCTTCATCATCCTGTAAACATCAGTTGTTTGGACTCGCATATAACCCTCACTGACTGTACTAGTACCTTCCYGATTTATATCAGACCTGAATAATCACTGCCTGTGATCTTAAGCAAAATGAAGTTAGCACTGGGAAGAAAATTTCAATAATAGAAGGAAAAGTGATACATTAACACCCATGTTCATTTTTTTCTACATTTTAACACTGCTTTCCTGAAGGTAGAGCATGACATATACCTTACCATACTTGTAGCTTTGACGTACACATTATCTTTCAGATGGCAGTTTCCGTCATGGGGAATTACTATCCCTGCTAATTTACTATCAAGGGCCAGATGGGAAGTTTGATCTGTCATCACAAGAAGTAGTCGCTTTGCTTCTTTGCGCCATCCAATATGACTCTAAAAACAAAACAAAACAAAAAAACATAAGAAAGAAGTAACTTCCTATTCTCTAAAATAATAAATATTATGAAAGATTAATGTAAAAATCTTTCTTGAGATATTGCACTTTTTAGAAGCACTGAGTTTACACAGTTTACACAGAATTTGAAGCATTCTTTTTTAAAGGGAAAGAATTTGTATATATTTTTGTATATTTTTAAAAATCCTTTAAAATATATAAAAATTATGTATTATAAGGTGGGTTTGGGCAATAGCTACCACTTTACATGTGTCTTTACTATACACAAATGCAATTGCATAGCATTTGCACGATTCTCTAGGATCTATAAAACACTGAAATCTTTATTGAAATCACTACTTGGTGTCCTCTTTCATTTTTCTTTGCTATTTTTCTTGATACTCTTGTCATCTTATGATTTCCTCTTTCTACATAGGAAGAATTTCCTTTATAAAGGAAACTCACGTATGACTGACTAACAAATAAGCTAAAGTCTCAGTGTCTTCATCCTCCCATATATTATCTTATTATGCACCCAGTTTTATTTTCAATATTTGATGAGCTGTAAAACAGGTGAATAAAAGCCATTCTTCACAGACACTGATCATGGTTGTTATAAAAACTCTACTTGGGAATTTGGTTTTGGCCGGGCCTCATTTGATCACTCCAAAAGAGGATGTGAGGACAGACAAGATGAAAGAATTATCCTAACATCATCCCAAGGGACTAGAACCATACCAAAATGGTTTTAATGTTCTTTTGAAATCTGTAATTGATGGAAAGTAATATATGTGTCAGTTTAAGCAAGAAACAGTTACTGACATGATCCTACTGCTCTGCTGGTTAGGTTGAACCAAAAGGATAAAAATAAACTTCGACTCTGGGCGTAAAAGCACCATTTTTAGAAAAAMACGCTTCAAAAAAACCACAGCATAAAGGACATCATTAACTAGCACTGAAAAAGGCTTCCTGCTGCTATCCTTTTCAGTTTCAACTGGAAACTGAAATACGGAGCTAAAGGGAGAAATAATGAAAAAAAATGAAGAACAAAYCTTACTGTTATCAGTCATTCAACTGACATTCTAAATTCAAAAACACTGGACACTGATGTACTGACATTAGTGACTGTGTCACATTTGGTCTTTTGTTCATAAATTCCTTACCTGGCATACAGCTGCTTGGAGCATTGCATCAAAACCTCCTTCGGGTGTATCAATATTCCCAGAAATTTTTTGTTTATGTACTGCATTTCTGAATTCTGCTATATTGTCAGTCAGGGACAGCACATGAATATAACCATGAGGAGGCATACAATCTAAATTATAATCACTATATAAAAAACAAAAAAGAAAAATCATGTCCATTTAATTCCATAATTTCCATTTGAAAATATGTAAATTTATACAATAGATATACATTTGAAGTACTGCATCAATGTCATTAATATAGCAACAGTAGATATGTAGTATTTCAGCATGAGAAAGAATACAGCATGAGAGACAGTACGAGATCATAGAACATACTATGCCTTTTGTAATGTCTATAGAATGATGCAGATTCTCATTTTTGTTGTAGTGAGAAAGGGCTACTACATAGTAACATTAAGATTCTGTAATTACTTGATGCATAGGCTACAGGATTCAAAACTAAAAATATCAAATTTAAGTTCCTACATCCACTAATAGGATACTGAAGTATATAAAACTCATGCTGAAATTAATGACTTCACAATGCATGGATGCGAAACTAGATTTTCAGTATATGGGATTGTTAAAAGGATACTTTTTGAAATGATGTAAAAGGGAATCATACAATCATATAATCCTTCAGGTTGGAAGGAACCTCTAAAGATCATCWAGTCCAACCCCCTGCCCATGCAGGAAGAAAGCATTAAGTTCAACCTAAACGAGATSATAGTCCAGTAGCACTTAGATATATTGCTGCTCGATGACCCCTTTACCGCAGTGGAATTTATGGCACGACTGAAGTGCTCAGGTAATCTGAGATAGTAACCAGGCCTCACCTAACTTAACCTCTGTTGCAGAGTGCAATAATCCAGAGTATTGTATTCTCTGTAGGAAGTCTCTGGAATAATCTATTCTCCCTTGACTCAGTTTACAAAAACTGAAGGGAAATTGGCATTGTAAGAAGTAATACACCTATAGATATCAACATGAGGGCAAATAGCTTATGTCCCAGAAGTGCAAATTTACTTCCACTGTCTATATACGTGGTCTAGATGACTGCTTCAGAAATMGACATTTGTATTTTTCTGATGAATTCCAGTAATGCCAAATTCAAAACACATTTTAAAAAAAGGATAACTACAGACTTGACAGAACTTTGCATCAAGTCTTCTCTGGAAAGTTAATAGCTATCAGAAGATGGGACTAKTTCAATAATCATTTTTTAAAATATTACAGTTCATGTATTTAAGAATGTGTTGTGAATAATCTTGTCTTCTAACAGCTTTGGGAAGTGATCCCTCACCTACAGAAGTGCCGAATGCAATGTATAAAAGTTGTAAAACAAAAAAAARGATATACAATCCAGAACACCTTACTTATTTAAAATGGGACTTTGGTCATGTAACAACTGCAAAATTAGAACAAATGATGCTTTTGTTCATTAAACGGGCTAAAAGAAAGAAAACAATTCACTTTTACAAAAGAAGAAATTCTAGCAAAAGTCTTAATGAATAGAGGATCACACACCAAAAGAGAAGTTCTAGGTCATAAAGTCCAAAAAAAGTAACAAATCTACATGACATATGTCCATAATAACTTAGAACATTTTAGTTGACTRTACAATTGAATGTAAAAGATACTCAAATATACTAAAGATGCACTTACATCTAGAGTTTAGAAAGTTATATCCATATTGTTTGGTTTGTTTCTATAAATCAAATATTGCACATTTTTTRTGATATATCAAAAAAACTCGGTTCTTCTAAAATCACTCATATTTAAAAAGTAATCACTGTGTAATATTTTTTAGCCTTTTCTTACGCACCTTGTTGGAGAAACAAAATATCTAATCGAAGAGGAGCTGAAAATAAAAATGCATGAAATTTCTCAGTACTAAGTAAACAGAAGCACTACATACCTGCATTGGTTATGGATTCTACCTGGGTGAATGCTAATATAGGGTGACACAGTTTTATCCACATATGATCCAAATCCAAGTCGAAAATCAAGAGAAATATTCTCCATCTTTTTAGATAAAGCAAACCCAACTGAATTTAATTTTTCTATATTGTTGTGCATAGAGGCTGAGACATCAACTAGATAATAGAGATCCACAGGATATTTCTCTAGAGGACGGACTTTTAATATAAAGTTTGCTTCGCTTCCTGATGCAAAGGAAACAAATAAGTTTATTTACAATTGTTGAATGTACACTTAAAAATACCTTATATTTATTTTTGCAGGAACCTCAACCTAACGCTCTTTGTGCCAGCAAACAGAAAAAAAACCCAAACAATAAAGGAACCTCCCAAGAGTAAATGAAATTCTGAAGCACAGTTCAAAAACAAGCTGTATTGGGTCTCTCTGTAAAATATACTGTTTTTTTTTTCCCTGAAGGAGTATTGTGTGATTTACTGTAAAAAGTCTATTTCCCATTTTCATTTAAATTCCTAGTTATGCAATCCCTTTGGCATTATATCCAACAGCAGCAATGACTCAAAAAGTACATAGATTTGCATACAAATTGTGGTCAGCCACTTCAAGACTGACAGTATATTAGTTTACTCTCTAAACAAAGTATTTGTCATGTGTGTCTGAAGCTACACATATGTATCACAAAAAGACCAGAACCTGAAAAACTTGTGTTTCAAATTTATAGCAGTCTGCTTCTAAAGATTAAATGAGAATATTGAGTAGGATGAAAGAAAAAAAAAATTCTAATATTCTAATATTAAAAAAAAAAATCCATCTTTTGGCCCAGACAAAACAGAAATATTCCTTTATCTCAGAATGACAAATATCTGTCTGTCCTGCAGAAACACATCACATTCTCTTATACAATAAAAAGTTAATGCACTGGAAATCTATAAAAAACAGTTGCCGCATTTTTGCTTGCCTAATATTCTGTAGTGCTAGCAAAAAAGTGTGATGTAACTTGACTATGGGCTTTGTAGCTTCAMTAATGCATGCCTTCAAAATATCCATTGTTTCATGACACCCAAACTGTTTGCTGTCTTACAGCAAAACCAGATCTTTGCATGTATATTGACTCTAGTTTGGTGTTAGCACAATGAAGATATAGCAAAGGACAGGTGGAAGGGAAACTTTCTAGAAGGATCATTCAGCTTTTCAAATATTATCTAACCATGTTCTGAAATAGAATCACTAAAAAAAGATTACAACATTGTCACTTTTCTGTACATGGCTTTTGCTACTGTTCATGGCATTTTCTGTTCATGGCATATATGGCGTTGCTGCTTCAGGCCACTGGATAGCAAAATACATTTAAAACAAGCATGTCTTTTTTTATCAAAGACATGGTAAAGGTAAAATGTAAAGTATTTTTAAAATAGGCTCACTATACAATTTTTATGTTTTTGAGCATTTTCCACCTGAAAATGTCAGGATTTGTCTCTATCAGGTCTTTCATGACCAAAACGGAATTACAGTGTGTGGTAGCTTGTGTGGTAGCTTGTATGGTAGCTTATGTGCTTCCTCTGACTGTGCAAACTGAACAATAAATCCAGATCTTGAGTTTGCCTATAGCAAGATACTAATGCAGCTTTTGTTTTCTCCTTGTAAATCTTGAGAGCTGGGATTTATGTAAACAGTGACAAAAATCAAGACAAAAATATCTTGGTTCTGCATGATTACACTCTATCAAATTTATGTTTTGAGGCACAGCTATAGCTGTATATCTGTATATTTCCACAGAAGTAAAACATGGAAAAGAAAATATGGCTAGAATGTATTCCACATATCAACTGCTGTTCGTTAGCAGTCCCAAAAATTTCAGATTTATGCATCCTGAAGCAGGAGGTGAAGTCATTTTCAATACAAGTTAAAAGGCTAATGAGACCAAATTTTAGAAGGCTAAATATTTTATACAAGTCCATCAAAGCCTTTGGAAACAAACGTGATCATGGACATTTCTAGAGATAGCTTAGCYCCCGAGGCCTCCTAAGAGAAACTAGAGCATGAGACATTTCTTTGTAAGGTAAGTGCGGAAATGAGAGGAAGTAGTGTTAATTATTTCAGTTGTGTTATTATAAACAAGATGGAAAACTAGAGCTCCTTGGTGCTTTACACTTCTGCAGTTCCTTTCTTTTCAAGAAATAAACTTTTATACAGTGAAGATTAGCAAGTCATTAAAGTAATTCAGAATCTTCTTATTCACTGTTTTTCTGTCAAAGACTGATCTCTTTTAAATGACAATGACATACTCTTTCTCTGAATATAGTTTGCAATAGAAATAAGTCAAATTTTATGATACAACACATATCCTGTATTTCTTTCTATCACCCTCACTTTTCTGGGTTGACATATACACATACATATATGGGACATATACACTAATTTGACTTTTCTGTTAAGTAGAGGGAACGCAGGGGAACACTAAAAAAAAAAAAAAAAAAAATACATCCATTAAGGTTTCTTTACAATCTAACAGGTAATTATTTTTGAGGCTTTTAAAATAAGAATTCAGATCCCCCAAAGAGCTGATTGCATCCAGAAATTACCATTTCKGAAGCAGACTGGGATTAGGAGCACTTCAGTTTGATAAACTAGGCCAGCTCAGATAGTTTTCTGGTATGGGTCTAGCATGTCAAGTGTGAACAAGATGAGCCTGATATGATAGCCCTTGCTCCACACAGGAGTGGGATTGTGTTGCCAACTCCATTTTATACAACACTCAAAAGCATTTACCAAGATCCTGGTAGAACTAAGACAAACTCTCTTCTCTGTGCCAAGGTTTACCTATTTTTCAAGAAAGTACCCTCCTACAAAGGTACTCAGTTGTATTTTATCCTTTCTGTCAAATTAGCTCCATGTATCATGGCATAATTGAATGTTTACTGGTAAAGAGAGTACAAAATAAATAAGAATAACTTTATAGACTATTATTGTAGTATTTCACTGGGAGAAGGGACATTTGTCCCAAAAGTCATTCCACTAGATGTATCATCATTTCTATCACTCTTCCTATTGAAAGAACAATGGTCTTAATATCAGGCCAATTTTAAAAAAGGAGGACAGACATATATAGCAGAGAGTTCAGAAACATTAAGTCCTAGGAACTGCACAGCCCCAGAGCACAGAATCAGGTACTTGAGATTTTGATGACTAGGAGACAGATTTCCAGCTTGAGGATATCATCTATAGGTGCATACCCATCTGTACTGTATTCCACATAGAGGAATCAGGTTTTCACTTTGTCTTTATAAGTGAAATTTTAGGCATTGAATACCTACATGTACTTTATGAATCCAGCTCTTTCTTTCATATTGGCTTTTGTACTGTCACTGTTGTCTAATCAAGAAGCTTATTAAATGATGAATTTAGGAATTTTTGCCCAGTTTACTTACAACAAASATTTGTAAGCAATTTATATGTAGTTAAGGGAAAATGATTTTTACAAGTGGTTATATTAACAGAATCAAAAAATTAAAACAGAAAAGAAAGCAGAATACTATCTAAAACCCCTTTCCACTCACTGCTTGCATTATTCTGACCTTCAGCTGTGTTTTGCAGAAACATTTCTTGCTGCAAACCATACTCATAGTCCTACAGCATAATGTTATACAATCATTCTTCAAGATAATTATTCTAGCCATCTCATCACAAATGATACTTAAAGAAAACTCTATTTAGTTTACACTGCATATATGTTAGACACAAGCCAACCTGGACGCATTTGTACTGAAACTTTTCCCGGCGTCACTTGTGTATTTGTTTCATGGTCACTCGGTATTGTTACATGAACTGTGGGATTTTCTAAAAAATCTGATTGGCAGCCTCTTTTCATCAAGTTAGAAACAGTGTCACAGCGTCCCATCTGTGTTGCGTCAGCTATGAAATCCTGTTTTATAAGAGACAAAAAGTACAAAACAATTTGAGCTGAAAAAACAACTGTAGTATCTTCAAAGGAATGCAAGAAACAACATAATAGTCTTTCAAACAATAAAGTATGCTACCATAATTGCATAAATTGTAGGACTAGTTCATGGAAACCATATGTTTTTAATAAGGACAATGACAAAATATTTAAATTAGAAGTTAAACCTAATTGCTGCAATGATTTTTTTCTACAAAGGAAAAATCTTTTGTGTGAGAAAAAGGATCTTGCACAACCAGAATAAACTGACTTCGGAGAAAAGGAAAACATGAACTGTCACTACAAAAGGTTTTATGCTATGTTCATTGAATTAGTTCCACCAAGAAAATGTCATTTGCACTACTTCAAAACATGTTGGTTTTCAGAGGAATCTGACAGCAATTTTATTTAAGCTGATATTTAAGAGTAGAAGCTGGAGTGAGCTTTACATTTATCTAACCTGAATTCATCTGCTACAGATTTTACTCCATACTCTAAACTCAAGCCAATAACTAATTGAAATATATCATTTCTGTTTCTAGTAGGATATTACAGGACTGCATCATTTAAGATGTCGTCAACATAAGAAGCTGCTGTAACAAAACAAAATTGATTAGCTGAAGGATGAGATCAGAATGAGCAGCATGTCCTTTGTTGCAAAGGGCAAAGCTGTCAAGATCCAATGCAAAATTCCTTCCTGATCACAAATCTGGTGATTATCATGATCCTGATCATGCAGGGGAAAAAAAAAAAAAAAAAGACAAGATCCTTTGTACTCTTTCAMACTCTTGGTCCATCCCAGACACAGCTGGAGATCAAACAATGGACAATCTCTGATATTTCAGAGGCAGATGGAGAAAATAAACAAACAAAAAGTACATGGAGCCAACTGTGCATGAGGGAATAATCATCCAGACCCCAAAAGGACCAGACAAATACCCTGAAAAATGAGACTGGATAGTCATGCATGCTTTAAAAGCTTAGCTGGAAGTGTTGCAAGTGTGCTGGATATGATTCTGGCACTCCTGTAGTCCCTAGCACCCAGGGAGATATGGGTTAAACATAGGATTACACTGCACAGAGTTACCGTCATCATCCCCTTGCTCATGCAGCCTCATTCAGCTATCTTTCAGAAGAAAAGCTTTTGCTTAGTCAGTCTTTGGGCTTTTGAAGAGTATCTAATCTAACATATAAAATTCCAGAAAAAAATAATAATAACCTGGTAAATTCAAATCCCTAATAAAATTTCATGAGTTACTCCTTCTAACAGGAAGGAAACTGCTTAAAGGCTGAATTTGTTTGATCATTTGCTTTTATTATTCTTTTTGCCAGGAGGGCTGACAAATATTCATATTCTCTCTGTTCGCCTTGCCAATATTTTCTCTATCTTCATACAAAAGATTTAAACCACTGGTAAGCTGAATAACCCTACTTAAGTTCTGGGCATTAAATCTTATTTTCCATGTTTCAATTCATTTTTCTGGTCTACCTCTGACATAGTATTTCCACAGTCTTCTTCAGTGTAGACAGCAGAGATCGTTTTTTTGAGTTGGCTGCTATTTATCTACCTTTTCTGATGTATATATAAAAAAAAGCTACTTGATTGATCTCACTGGCAACTAATACCTATGTAGCCTGTTGTAGTTTACTATGTGATGGTATAAAGTCAACACATATCAGGTGTTCCTTGGGGCTACTTTTTTATTAAAATCACTGTTTAGGTAAGCCAACCTATGCTGAAAACCTGTTCCCTTACATTGCAAAAGTTCTGAATTAATATTCAGAATATCTCCTTCTTTGGAGATCTTTAAAACCCGCTTGGATGCAGCCCTGTGCCACGTGCTCTAGGTGACCCTGCGTGAGCAGGGGGGTTGGACTCGATGACCTCTGAGGTCCCTTCCAACCTTCGGCATTCTATGATTCTATGATTCTATGAATATGGGTTTTGCCATTCCACAAACATTGATGCTGAATATATGAACTAGCTTTTAAAGGGCAGTTTGACAAATCATTGACTTCCATAAACAATTCACAAGATTGACATGACAAATGAGACAAGAGGCTGAGAAGTCAAACCAGGTCAGTGCAGTAATCTGAGTGCCTGGTTAATTATGTCTCTAGTGCTGGAAAGCCAAGAAGTGCCATGATAAATACAGATGTAGCTGGATAAAACTGTGTCCTTTGTAACAAAGGACATCAGATGACAGTAAYGGACCACTCCACACTGCAATCCATTGTGCCATATACACATTTCCTTAGACTTCTTTGTAAAGCAAGCTCTCCAGGCCTCTAATCATCCTTGAATTACTTGTTCTTGTTTCAGACTAAGTTAATCATTCCAAGACTCAGTATCTCAGATAAAATTACACTAACTCCTTATCTCTTCTTGACACACCCCAGGACTTTATCTGACATCTTTGCTACCTTGAAAGCTACTAGAGATAATTTGCAGGTGACTTTCAAAGGCGTATGAGCTTTTAATAGCCAAGAAACAATCTTAAAAACACGTATCATAGATTTCCAGTTTCCAAAGCATTAACTATTTCAGAATAATTCATTCTAAAATGATAAAACTTATGTGACAGGCCTCAGAACTGTAAGTTTCAAGCGTCAAAATAGAACAGTATCATTCTTTTTTACTTGTGACACAGGTTGATATATAAAGTTGATATATAAAGTGACATTAAATCCACTATTACTAAAAACTTTGGCTGAAATGCAATAGGTATACATATATAGAGAGACTAACAGATATAAAGTGAGCAGTTAATGTAAATTATTGATAAGTAATTTGACTTTGAAGCCAGAAACCATTGAACTCTCAGAGTTACTGCAAGTCTGCCAAAGCTGTCTACAAAGCAGATGGAACACATTAAAAAGTTCTCACTTTCTCTAAAATTACTGCAGTTTTCCAAATAAAATATTGTATTTTCTCTTTTGGAAACTAAATATTATTTCACATGATTTCTCAGGTGCTTTCTCCAAAGGTTGTCTAAAAAGATTTTCCTGATATTTCTCACTGTAGTTTTCATTAATCAAAATCCTTTTATCTTTATAAAGATTAGAGGAATCTAAAATGTAAAGTCAAAAATAAATAAGCAATAAGCCATACCTCCTGAGCACACCAACCACACTCTGGACCCAAAGCAAGGCACTTTGTGCATGTTACCGCATTTGAAGTGGCACATCTATTTTCCGCTGTAATGAAATACAAAACCAAACATTCATGATTCATACTSATATGTGGGAATTGTAAATACCTAATTTTAAACTAAGATTTCAGAAATGACTTCATCAGATTAGCAGTGATGACAACATAGCAAAACAGAAGTAAAAGAGAACAAAGGCAGACTGCTGCTGGAACATTTACAGAAGTTTTTGTAACTACAGCCTAGAACTACATGTACAGATAGAATAAAATCCATTCTCAAGTCCAAATTTCTAAAATACTTATTTAGCATAATATTGAAGCAAGAATTTATGCTTTGGCATATTTACTGATTAATTGCCTAGTAGAAAATATTTACCAGGTAGTTTATCTCTTTGTAGATTCTTTCTTTTAAGTCATTTGACCCAACGAGTTATTTATTATTCACTTTGTATGGAACCCAAAATATTTCCTCACTTTCTATAAATATTCCCCTTCTGCATTTTCTGGACAGAAATGTATGCCAGGAACAGCAGATTTTTTTTCAGAAGAAAATACAAATTTATCCAGGATTAAATGTGTCATAGATTGAAGACTATTATAATTCTGTACTACACAGCTGCAGAAATTGCACCTACTAATAAGCCTATGAGCAAATTTCTTTATATATTTTACACTCTTTGTTTTATAGGTCACTGCTAAAGTTACCACTATTTTTAAATCTTTGCTATAAAACTTTGGCAGTCAGAGTTGAGAAGAACTATCCTTTTCAAGGCTTTGAGTCAGCTTGAGTTGAATTCAGTGCAAGTAACTTTTACATCAGTGTGTTTCTCTACAAGACAGAATCTGCCAAGGAGTTATGAGGAAGGCATAGAATTTGCCTCCCCAGTACATAGCTTGGTAGCATATGCAGCATGGCATGTTCAAGCSTAATGATTATAAAATATGCTGGGGGGGGGGGGGAAGATTTTCTGCATACTGGAAAGTCTACATCACTTAATGGATCCATCATTAGAATGAAATGTCCTCATATCGCAACAGTTTGAAGAAAGGTTTGGTTTTCATCCAAAGCTTTGAGGTAGTGTCAGATGATTTCTTTCCAACTTGAAAAAAAAAAAGAGCAAAACATCTCTCTTTTTAAACTAATGATAGCAATTTCTCACACTGAAAAGCATTATTAGGAAAACATTTACTAAAATATCCCTTTTGTTTTAGTGATATTTCAGCTATGGGTTCAAACAGGAAATCCTGCATCACATGAAAAACTAGTTCTCAGTCAGTCACTGAGTAACAGGTGATCCAAGGAACTAATCACAGGTTGCAGGTTATTAACACCAATAACATATATATCATTATTGGTATAAACAAGACAGCAGAGTTTAATACAGCACAATGTCACTGTGGTACTAATAGCATTTTGCATTGGTGAGAATTTCATTAATTTCAATGGTCAAAACTGTATTTCTGTTTCACATAAATGCTATTTACAATGTTTGCCACGTAGTCAATGTGAAAAGAGAAAAGTATATGAAAAAGAGAAAAACTGTTACAGATGTGAAACAATAAACTGAAAAGCAGCCCAGAAAGGTGCTGGAACAGAGGAAAGACTGATTAAAGTGTGGGGGATATGGGCAGGGATACATAAAGGAGGAGTAAAAAGAACAAGACAAAATCCAAAAGATTTTTGTTTGTTTGTTATAAAACAAACACAGCAACTTTGGCTTGGATGTGAAATGAGAAGCRAGCTCATTCACTATTCTTTGACAAAACACAACTTTACACTTATAAGAAGAATGGTAGCAGCTTTTTATGTACTGAAGTCTGAAGGTCCAGACTTGGAGCCCATGGAAAAAGTCCATGAAAACCCCAAGAAATGAGAATAAGGATGCCAGTTTGGGAAAGTCATGCAGGGTTGCAGAGTTTGCTATAGATCCATTTCTATTTATAAAGCACGAAGACAGAGGATGAAGACAAGTTATGGAAGGAAGGAAAAATTAAAGGAATATTAAGTGTTTTAGACTCAGAAACATCACTTCGTATCTTCAGCTGGATACTAAACACAGCAGACATTGAAAGACATTATGAATAAAAGAAAAAAGAAAACAAGGAAGTAAAGCAGTGGATTCAGTGAAAGTTTCAAAGGACAGGGAAAATATATGTACTGCTAATTTCCAGCAGAGGATCAAGACCACCACAGGTCAAAACAGGGAGGAGATAAGGCACGAACTCTCAAGTTATCCATCAAGTAACATCTACCTTCAAGGGACGGAGCTATTCTGGGAATAAAGTTGACACGAAGGAATGAGAGACCTCTGTCTCTAGCTAAACAGATAAGCAACGAGTCTAACTGATTCCTGCTCATTACTTCAAGCAGTACACTAAAGTAAACTAACAATGGAGTCTGACCTAATGCACTTCCCACAGTAATTTCTGAAACTCCTTGCTTAAAATGCAGAATCCCAGCTACTTAACACAGGCAGTTTACTTTCCCAAATTGTCCCTCTTCCTAAATTAAATGCCTTTAAATATGTAACAAAACTGTATTATCTGTTATACTGGACTATATGTTACAAAACTGTATTATAAATATGTAACAAAACTGTATTAAYGTGTTGCACTACACACATGCTAAAAGGAGTAACAATTTTCTATGATAGGGATAACTGCATATTTTCACACACATTTCCAAGACAATTGTCCCAGATATTTTTCTGTATTGTTAGTTTAGATACTGAATCTATCTGAGTCTATTTCAATTTATTAATAGAATCAGTATTAAAAAAATTAAGTTCTTTCTGTGTCTTTCTAAGGTGCTAAGGCAGAATAAAAGAAGTCCTTAAAATCCAGTTTGGGTTTTCAGTGTGATCATGGCAGATGAATGCTTTAACAAATGAGACATAGTCTTGCTGGATACAAATCTCTGCTGATAACTCTCCAGCCTCAAGAACACCATTTTCACAACATGAAGTCACTGATTGGCAATTGATGAACTTGGTACCACTGGTGCAAAAAAAAATGATTTTTTTGGAATAAAGAGAAACTTCAAAAAGGTTTATTAATACCGAGACACATTCTGGCTACATTACTACCATAGTTCCCAAGCACATAGTCACTWAGAGCAGTAACATTTATGGGCATGCTTTCATTCACCAAATATTTATTATTTAGGTATAAGCCTACTCTAAAACCTGTACTGAATTAGCATAAACTTTTCTGTTTTCTTAAAAAGTCATATGTAAAAGCAAGAAATGTTTTTTAATGAGTTGGCTGAAAACGGAACTGAGATTTTTCCTGCCACTTCACCAAAACTGAGTCCAGACAAGACTAAGTTACTATTCAGCCAAGGCTAAGGGCAAGTTTCTACTGGCTTAGTTATAACTGATGTATGCCAAAGGTATTTTCAAAAAGAAGGGCCAAATTTTATGCTGGGAACTGCACAGGCGTATGCATATAATAAAAAATAAGTCCAGTAGGTTATACTACATTTTTCAAGCCTTCCCCACAGAGAGAGCTGTGCTGCAACTACTCCAACTATTAACATTGAACACAGGTGTCACAAGTCCAAATTCTCAGCAACAAGAAGTACTAAGGTTGAACAAAATTCATTTGTTATAATTGTATCCTGTCTCCCTGTTACAAAAACTGCTTTATCATGACCAGAATACTTATCTCAGAGATGTAATAATAATAATGTTCAATGGGAGCTAAGAGTGATTGTTATAACAGGTTTTCAAACAGAGAGCACTTTGCCGAAGTACAGCCAAGAATGTGGATTTACATTAATTTCACTGTTGGTACTTGTTTGGGCTGTATTTGGAGGGTGCGCCCTTTGCTTCTTAAAAACAGAAAGCTAGTATCTGAACAGCAAATCATACTGCCTGGTGAGGTGAACGGAATTTAAAACAGGAAGGTATAAAATTATCTCATCTCTGCAGTTTTTTTTTCCTTAAGTTCTACATCCAGTTGTCCAACTGCCTGTCCAACCAACAACCAGTCTGTCTCTATAAATACCTACAGAGACGGTGGCTCTCAGTAACTCAGGTGCAGCGGCACCGCTGAGGAAGGCTGCAGCTTGCAGGCAGCGCGCTGCAGTTACCTTCACCTTTCTCTCTCTCTCTCTCTCTCGAGCTCTGCTACGTGATTCCCGCAGCGAGAACAGCCAGCAACTGTCCCAGGTAACACGCAGCTCCTCAGTTCATTTTRACTGAGAGAGCAGATACAATGAAATGCACTGTAAAAATATTATGGGGGGGGGAATTTATTTCCATGATTATTGCCTCTGATACTACTTGCCCAGATTACAGGGGAAAAAACTGAGAGCCTGCACTTTAACTGCCAAACCTAAAATCTAATCCTGGAATTAGGGTTTYTCCCCCACCTTTTCCAAACAAACAAGTGTATTCCTGTACTTCTATTCTGCTTAATAAATTTCCCCAAAGTGAGTTAGCAGAAATACCAGACAACTGGCTTACTTTCCCCCCTTTACCATTGCTTGAATGGTTAACGCATTTCACTGTTAAACCATGGTTGTCTGCTTCAGTTGCCGCTATTCAGACAACACCTAAGCTATAAACTGGCATGAAAATACTGTTTATCAGCAACAGAAGTAGCAGCAAACACAAACTCATCATTTAGGAAACACATATATTTGCTAAAAAGAAAATAAACAAGAAGTGCAAAATATGACCTGTAACTGAAATACTGAGCCCATTAAAAATACATTTGTAAACATGGCAAGTGAATAAAAGCACCTTCCAAAAAAACAGCATTCTTGTCCTATTAATCATTAGAAAGAAAAAGTTAGTTTCTTAAAAGAAAATTTAACATTCATTTTGAGACCTAAAGAGTAAAAAGAAATTACCATATGTACAAGTTGCCCTGTGAACATGGGGAGCACTTCTGACAGTGACAGAAATTATTTTAAAAAGACTTTGGAAAGCCTTAGTGTACCACAGCTCAGACTTTGCAAACTGTGTAGGGCGATAACTAAACCTTCCTGTTTTTACAGACTTCACAGGGTATGAGCAACAACACTCCAGA